TAAGCGGAGTAGCGCTTTAAAGGAACTTGACAGAAATTTCTATTTTTGGTAACCATGGCAACACCGTTCATCGAATTCAAAAACCGATGACACTAAATTATGTATCTTAGTGTAGACTACTTTGTGGCAAGTTTTATTGAAATCAGACCAAAACCGCGAGTAACATTTCAAAGGAATTTCACAGAAATTTCTATATTTAGTAACCATGGGAACACCATTCATTGAAATCAAAAACCGATGCACTAGATTATGTATCTTAGTGTAGTCTACTTGTGTGCCAAGTTACATTGAAATCAGACCAAAACTGTAGGAGGAGTAGCGTTTTCAAAAATTGTTTACAGACAGACGGACGGACGACGGACACCTTACTATCGCATAAGCTCTTCTTGTCCCTGACCAGTAGAGCTAAAAACGATATGGGAATGCTATCGCACTCTAAATGTAGAGATTTGGTCAGCTGTTGCAGAGCCTGGGGATGCGAATGTCTTTGGCGAATATGCCTATCCATTTTGTCCAATGCATGCTCAATGGGGTTTAAATTTGGGGATCAAGATGGACAATTCAGAACAGGATGCTATGGCTTTGCACGAATGCACTTGTCAAACAAGCCATATGAGTCCTTGTATTGTCAGATTGAAATTAGACTCAAGGATGCTGCATTACTGGATATACATGTACAAGAGTACAGTTTTGCGTCAAAGTCCTTTGAATATGAACTAAATCAGTCCTACTTGTATATAATACCGTTTTCCACAACATTACACTACCACCACCACATTTATCAACTCCCCAGAGGCAGGTTTTTAAACGTTCATTACAAAGCTTATGCACTCGTACTCTTACATCAGGGTTTGCAATAAACATTTTGGACCAGTATTTAAACTAAACTATTCAGCGATGTTGCTGTGGTCATACTCCTAAGGACTTTTGAAGTATATTTGTGGTGTTGTGAGGTCAGAAAAATTGCATGAACATTAAAATCTCTTGCAAGTTTAGACTTTTGTACACCTGTTTCCAGTCGCCCAATTTCTTTTTGGGATAATATCATTGATATGCAACATTTTTAAAAAGCGTCAATTTTCAGAAAAAATAAAAATATCAAGAGCCCATGCTTTTGATAGCTCTTTTGTACCTGAAGGATGTGATCAGAAACTGACAAAAGAAAAACGTTTACCGGTCGATAAAATATATGTAGGTAGCAACTGTTCCTACGCCAAGCGCTTGGCACTTTGAAGTGAAAGTTGCGGGTCCTTCGGATGAGACCTTTAAAACCGAGGCCCCGTGTCACGGTAGGCGTTGGCACGATAAAGAACCCTCGCTGCTCAATGGCCTCGAGTGCCGAGTAAAAGGTCTAAATTTGAAGCCATTCACCGGTATCTGGTGCCCTTACACTAGTGAAATTATAGGTGACCTAGATACTGCAAGTATATGTGCTATATCACGTACGTGACTGCCGCATCACGTGACAAGTCTAAATTTAAAATCTTATCGTCCTCGACATATAGTTATTAACCATAATTAAAAGAATGAAAAAAATCGGCATCCTGATTAAGACTATATTTTTAATCACAAAAAGTGACGGTATTTCCATTGCGCACCTTAACTGTACTGCGTGATTGCACTGCCATGAGTAGCAAGTCATCTAGGGTAGAACCTCCTCTTCCCCCTTCACCAATTTCATAGTGGAGAAAATACATTCATTCCTCACTGAAGTAGCTGGAAGTGAGAGTACCAGGTCAATCAATGCTAGTATGTTGTACAAATCACTGCATCCATGGTTAACTGTGGCCGAAGACAACTGATCCTGTGTAAGACAACTGATCCTGTGTAAGTTTACTGCAGTACTTGTATAACGAATTTAAACAATAATGGATGTAAAAATGTATTACAGTCTTTGATAAATTAAAAAAAATATTTTGCAGAAAAATATCTTGCATCAAACTTCATGTATCAAAACACACCAAATAGCCCAATTTCACATAGATTAAATGTGCAAAGTACTGAAATAAATTATTTAAAATAAAAAATACCTCTTATATACTTTAGTTTTCAGTAGGGTTCACTCAGTGATGCATTGGTCAACCTCCACACCAGAATACGTCGACATCTGATCAAATCTGCTACTGAGCAATTCAACTTCCTTGTCGCCATAACCTAGATATGTACATGTACTCGTTTCAAATCTTATCTACCAAAACAATATTTCTCAATTTTTGAAAGAAGACCTGAAGAGTAAAAAATTAAAGTTATTTACAAAAATTCATTTCACTTTAACCTCAGATCAATAATTCTATACATATGCTTGAAAATTTATTTGGTGCATTCCCTATTTTCGAGTTTTCAATAAAATGTTGCCTTTCAGTTTAACTTATGTTGTTAGTTCATAAAAGGAACAATAAACAATTGTGAATTTGAATAAAAACTTGAATTAAACATGTGTAACATCAAAACGGTAACAACACAAATAGTGACAATGCGAACATTTGCATAAATCACCTGCTAGGAATTATGAATTTAAGATGGACCATTAGCAAATGATGCAATAGAAGTTGCACAATGTCGTTATCCTTGAACCTAGTCAGAAATATTTGACCTTTTCCTGGCTTTTTTTACGATTTTGATATTTTACGTGCCAGGAAAACATCAGAACCGGTGCCATTACGAAAACTGGAAATTCGCCGCCTCCAACTGGAGGCGGCATTCTTGGGTTCATTTCCGATACTTGCGAACCAATTTAAATGCTGAATTCACAACTTATCAATAGAACAATGCCTTTAGTACTCATCAACATCGTTTTTATGGTTTATTTATAAAATATACAGTCCGGTGAAAAGGTTTTATCAGACCCTCGAGTTTTGTTTTCAATTCGTGCATTTTAAAATCTTGCAAGACCTGTATCGAAATGTAGAGTGATATTTTCTTTTCATCGATAGAAGCATTGCACTATTGATAAATTGTAAGTTCGGCATTTAATTCGGGTGTTGCTAAAACGCGCAACGGAAAACGGAACGGAAAGCGGAACGGAACGGAAAACGGAAAATATGATACCAGTTTAAAGCCCTTGAAAAATACAAATTATACCAAAAACGATATAAATTATATGTGTTGTTCATATTTAACCTTGATTATCAAGAATTAGTTGATCTCTTCATGGATACCGGTATTCTCATGTGAAGTTTCCAGTACAAAAGCAAAGCATAGGGTACGGAAAACATAAAATATATACACGTGGTATATATAAAACGTTGTGGTTCGATATGAGTGAATTAACTTTATAAAAGACCACTCTGATCAACATGAATAGCCAGTATTCGATATTTATATGCGCGAACACAACATAATTTTCGATGCACAGGCACCTAAAGTACGAATAACCATGATATCGTACAACTCTGCATCCCCCACCCACCCCAATCCCCCGTATTTGGCCAAATTGTAAAACTGGAAAACAGCACTGACCGATTGCACAGAATAACATAAGAATTGCTATGATGGAGAAATCACACATTTTCCAGAAAATGCGCTCTCGTAATTTATATATTATTTTGTAGGGAGGGGGGATGATGCATAGATGTAGCCTACGTTGTCCTCGCTTCAAGTACCTGACGGTGGATAGCGCGAATTCAGGATATTTTTAGGGGTGGGTGGGTTAATGTGTACTTTTCCCATCAACTTCACAAGGGCCCGTGATTTTTTTTTTTTGGGGGGGGGGGGGGAGGTCATTTTTCTTAATAAATATTTACAATGTACAAGTAATAACTCCGCAAATTTCAGGGAGTCCGAATCCCATCCCGAACGCACTCTAGATCCGCACATGCCTGTAGTTTTAATAAGCATGTCCTCTATTCTTTCCTTAATGTCAGTGATCGTTGTCTGGAACACAAATGTGTACATAATTATTCTCTTTCTCTGCCCCCCCCCCCTTCCCTGTTTTAAAACACCATTGCCTGTTTCATAATAAATGACAAAAAAAAAGAGTTTTGTCTTTGGTGAATAAGCTTTAAAAATTAGATTTGGACAAGTGATGAATGAGTATCAGATAGATACTTGGGCTGTGTGTCTAATTAGTATGTATTTCATTGACCACCGCATGTAGTTCTTGGGGGGGGGGGAGGGGGTCATGAATAAATTACATTGTTATGTTATTTTTTTTTTAATGAGACATAAACTATATGATAAAAAATACTGGTTCCTGTCTGATTTATATATGCTTGAAGTAAATAATTTGATATAAGATTTTCCGTTTTCCGTTCCGTTCCGCTTTCCGTTCCGCGTTTTAGCAACACCCATTTAATTCAGTTTGCAAGTATCAAAAATCAGCTCCGGTTGGAGACGGCGAAATTTCCAGTTTTCGTAATGGCGCCGGTTCTGACGTTTTTCTGGCACGTAAAATATCAAAATCGTGAAAAAAGCCAGGAAAACGTCAGATATTTCGGACTACATTGAACCTTGAGGTCATGGCATCAGAAGTACTTTTATTGAGTTTGTTAAGAAAAATGGATGGGTTGCATGACCTCTTGAAGACAATGGGCTGACCTGCATACATTTTAGTTTGTAATGAGTTTTCAGCCCCAGTTACTTTCCTGTAAAATACATGTTTATTGTTGCGAATATTTCATGAAATTTAATTAGAATTTATTCTAAGGAATTTGCTTTCCCCCAGCTAAAGTGTGACACGGACAGTCAGAAAGAAAGATGTACAGATGATTGACAATGTGAATCATTGCTATCATGGTGCCACAAAGTAAAGTTATAATTACCTTTTCTGTAATTGCTAAAACATTTTTTGTTGACTCGACTCTTACAAATGCATCTGCAGCTGCCAGCACCGTCTCGCTGCAGGTACAAGGAAAGTCTCAAGAGGTGAGAAACTACTTCCAGTAAAGTGTATTACACAGAGTTAAGATGATTAGAATTGAATAAAGTTGCTTCAAAGTTCAAGTTAATTAAATATTCAAATAAGTGCTACCTTGAGAATTTGAAGAAAGACCACATGTGCTGTCACGCTTTCCGGATATCTTGTTTCCGCCAAGACCGGTCTTGTTATATACGTCTGGGATTCAGCATGGCCGGAGCTGGTGCAAATGTGGGTTGTGTTAACCCTTGTTGTTTTTTGATGTTTTGATACCTGTGAGGTGCCACAGCGATGTGAGTGTTAATATGTGCATATGTCTAATGTGTTAAACAACTTTTTTCATATTTTGCAATGATATTTTCCATGTGTTTAAATCTGTTGTCATTTTTGATAGAGGAAATTCGGGCTGATTATTTGTTCTTGTTTACCATTGATCTTAAGCCAAGTCTTTGTGTTTATACAGTGTTTGCATCTATTGTCAAAATTCTTCTAAGTAATTTAGGCCTGTATTTCATAGTGTATTCAAAATTGATGAGGTCATTTTTGTGAAATTATGAGTGAATATTATTTGTAGAGAAAGCTAGAAATTTATTGTTTATTTCAATTTTATTTTCAGTCATTTACCTCTTGTGAAGCCATTATCAGAATAAAGTCTTCAACACTACACATGGTTTCGAGGTCATTAATCCGCAGTTGCACCAGTCTGGGACTGAGACTGCACAGTAAATGAATCGCTTCTACACGGATCAGGATCATTCTACCTGAGGCTGGGCCTACCATTCCCACTTCCCTTGGACAGTGGCGTGCGGACCATACCTACCTGGAGAGGCATCCAATCCTGTCGGTTGCGTGGGACATTGCGTTACATGTCGAACATTCTGTATACATTCCGTTACATGTAGAACATTCCATTATATAGTACAATATTCTTGGACATGAACTATTGTCATGTATAACTGTTAATATTCAGTGGCTTTATGCATTTTCAATTGTACGTATATGGTCAAACAATTTGGTGCTACAGGAATGTGATATGTCAATAAGTAGGATTGCATTTTTCTTAAGCATGCTTTGAAAATTTGTGCTGTAATTATGTAGCAAAATAATGCTTGAGTAGATATTTGAATTTTATCTTGCTGCGAATTTGACGACAATCATTTTTCTGTCAACTGTCAATGTCACACTTGTGTACTGTGAAAGAAAATTTATTTTTTTCAATTGTACATGTGTACAGCATTTGAAACATTATTGTGTGTACTCTGAAATGTTTATGCTCATTTAGAAGGGTGGTCATTTTTCGTATGTATAGATTACATCATTTAATTAATATTGAAATGCAAAGATAAGTGTATTACATTGACACAAAATGGCTGATAAAGACAGTAGTACTATAAGCAGTATTAAAGTAGAGGATCATGATGAACTTCAGGGCAAAAGTAGAATTAAAACAAAAACAGAAAAAGGCCAAGCCCTATATGAGGACACTGTTAGGAAATATCTTAATAATTGTGACGCTGTTTGGTCTGACATTGAAGATATAACAGTGAAAGTTGACGAATATAGATCACAATCTGACTTTAAATCTTTAAGACATTTAGATAGACAACTACAGGCATTACAAGTGAAACACCGAGAGGAATCCGAAGATTTTGTGGCCTACCTTACACGTACAAACACTGTGGACAGTTTATCGGAGTTAAGGATTCAAGAACTTTTAAAGGTCAAATGTCAGGACATTATAAGGGAATTGTGTCGGAAAATTCGGGAGGCGAGAATTGATGCCACAGAGAGACTGTCTCAAAGAGGCTCTGCAAGCCTACACACAAGGTCAGAGGTCGGAGAAACATCGGTGATGGGCAGCATTCTGACACAGAAGAGGATGGAGGTGGAGGCTCACCGAGCCAGACTACAATATGAAGCCAGAGAATTAAAGTTACGAAAGCAAAAGGCGTCGTTGGAGGAAATGGAAGCCAAGCACAAAGCAGAACAGGCTCGACAGAAGGAGGAGTTAGATGCCGAGTTTCTCCTATTAGAACAGGAACGCAAGTTCGCAGTAGCTGAAGCAGAAGTGAAAGCACTTGAGAACACAGGAATGAACAGTAGGCGTGTTTCTCCAGTATCGTCATTGCTGGAAGAACCAGTTGACAAGACACAGCTAACAGCAAAGTATATTTATGAGAGCTGCCCAGTGGAAAATGTGGTAAGTGCTGCGTTGCCAGTAACCGTTGAACCACCTTTGACAAACCCTGAATATAATGAACACAGAAGCTCGTTAAACCCTCATGCAGCTCCCTTTGAACTTAATGAAGTGAAACAGACTCATGATAGCAGTGTTGTTGGAGATCTTACCAAGTTCTTGTTGAAGAAGGACCTTCTATTTTCACGGTTTTACAAATTCAGTGATCGTCCCGAGGTCTTTGCTACATGGAAAGCAAGTTTCCTTAGCATAACGCAAGAACTAGAAGTTACGCCCTTTGAGGAAGTTGATTTACTGTTAAAGTTTCTAGGACCGGAGTCAAGTAAGTTTGCTTCAAGCATACGGGCTGCAAATGCTGCTTATCCAGAGAGAGGCTTAAAACGTATATGGGAGAGACTGGAGGAACGTTACGGGTCACCGGAACTCGTTGAGTCAGCCCTGAAAACCAAGCTGGAACATTTTCCGCGATTAACGACAAAGGATAGTAAGCGGCTTTATGAACTGGCAGACATACTAGCTGAGATTGAGGCAGCCAAGGAAAACCCGAAATATGCTACTCTCCTATCCTATTTTGATTCGTCATCAGGTATTCTACCTATAATCAACAAGCTTCCATACAACTTGCAAGAAAAATGGACGAATCATGCTTCAACCTATAAAAGGAAATACGATGTGTCATATCCTCCTTTCACATTCCTAGTTCAGTTTCTTCAAGAAATGAGCCGCATACGCAACGACCCAGGTTTCCAGTATGATGGTCAGTTTAAACCAAAAAGTAAGGAGCATGTGACATCTGTTGCGAACAGTGGTAGCAATATCAGAGAGCGTGTGTCAGTGAGAACAAACAAGACTGAATTTGTGACAAAGACTGGTAAAGAACTTTCGCAGGTTTGTGTGATTCATGCAAACAGTCATACACCTCATTCGCTTCAGGATTGTCGTGTATTCAATTCTAAGAGGATTCCAGAACGCAAGAAAATGTTGAAAGAAAAAGGAATCTGTTTTCGCTGCTGCAGTGCAAAACACATGGCCAGAGATTGTAAAGTGAACATAAAATGTAGTGTATGTGGAAGTACAGAACATTGTAGTGCACTTCATCCCATTGATGTCAAGGTCCGAGATTCGCACAAGGAGCATGGCGGGGAGAAACTTGCTGTAGACTGTACAACAACAGATTCTATGTTTCCAGTTTCAGCCTCATGTTTACAAGTTTGTGGGAAACAATTTTCTGGTAAATCGTGTGCCAAAATGTTGCTTGTTAGAGTTTACAGATATGGAGAACGGGAGAAGGCTGTTGTCATGTATGCATTAGTCGACGATCAGAGTAACAGGTCGTTAGCCCGTAGTGAATTCTTCGATAAGTTGAACATTTACTCTGAACCAAGGAGCTACACAATAACTTCCTGTTCTGGTACAGTACCCACTTATGGACGGCAAGTTAATGGGCTTGTAATCGAATCTTGGGATTCAACACAAACATTGAATTTGCCTACCATCACGGAATGTGATAATATCCCTTGTAATCGGGATGATATAGCAACACCGGAAATCGCGCAACACTACCCTCACCTTGTAGATATTGCGTCCGATATTCTACCTCTGAATGAGGCGCCTGTATTACTTTTGCTGGGACGGGATCTGGTGGAAGCACATCATGTTTTAGACCAGAGAGTTGGCAGCTGCTCGCCTTATGCCCAGAAGCTTCCATTAGGCTGGGCCCTAATTGGAGAAGCCTGTTTGGATAAGGTCCATGTCCCAGATGAATTCTGTGTAAAGAAGACACATTTAGTTGGAGATGGAAGAACTTCCATTATGCCTCCATGCACAAGCAATTTCACATACAGTGAAGGTCATGGACTGGGCTCCAGAAAACCAAATGACTTTGGAACCTCACTTTTTGAGCGCACAGCTGATGATGATAAACCGGGTTTATCAATAGAAGACAGAGAGTTCCTAAGGATTATGGAGGCGCACTGTAAACGGAATGAAGAAGGAAGCTGGGTTTCCCCACTGCCATTTAGAACTCCTAGAGATAGATTACCAGATAACAGAGCAGTGGCATTGAGACGTGCTAGGATCTTGAGTAAAACCTTGGACAGGAATCCTGGCAAGCGAGATCACTTTCATGCCTACATGGAAGGGATATTGGAAAGGCATGCGGAACTAGCCCCACCCTTGAAGCCCTCTGAGGAATGCTGGTATTTGCCAATATTCGGGATCTACCACCCAAAGAAACCATCAAAGCTGAGGGTCGTATTTGATTCTTCAGCAAAGTTTGAGAACACGTCATTGAATGATGTCTTGCTCTGCGGACCGGACTTGACCAATAGTCTTGTTGGTGTGTTACTCCGTTTCCGGAAAGATGCAGTTGCTATAGTAGCAGACATTGAGCAAATGTTCTTCGGATTCATTGTCGCAGAGGAGCATAGGAATTATTTGAGGTTTATGTGGCATCGTGATAATGACCCCAGTAAGGAACTTACGGAATACAGAATGTGCAAACATGTCTTTGGAAATGCACCATCTCCAGCCATTGCCACATATGGTTTGAGAAAGGCAGCTAGTGTAGATCCTACAACAAGTGAGAATGTGTTAAACTTTGTGAACAATAACTTTTATGTTGATGACGGTCTGCTATCTACAACAACGCCTGAGAAGGCTATTGAAGTGATGAAGAAGACACAAGCTGCCCTATTGACTGGTGGAAATTTACGTCTCCATAAAATTGCTTCCAATAATATGGATGTTGTCAATGCATTCGCACCAGAAGAGAGATCATCAGATCTAGAGAATATGGACTTAAGTGTTATGGATGATGTTCCATTACAAAGAAGCTTGGGTCTACATTGGAGCTTGCAAAATGATTACTTTACATTCCAAGTGAAGTTTGAAGAGAAACCCTGTACTAAGAGAGGTGTCTTGTCTACACTCCACAGTGTATTTGACCCTCTTGGCTTTGTCGCTCCATTTATTCTTTTGGGCCGCATGATTTTCAGGGAGCTGATGGACCTGTCTTGTGATTGGGATGATCCTTTACCATGGGAATTAGAGAGACGATGGACAGAATGGAAGAATAGTGCAGGTGATTTATCCTTCCTCCAGATTCCTAGAATGTTTACTTCCATTCCTACCAGTGAGGCCACCAGGACAGAGCTCCATGTGTACTCAGATGCCTCAGAACAAGCTGTGGCAGCAGTAGCGTATCTAAAAGTATTTAGGACAGATGATGAACATGAGTTGGGCTTTGTATTTGGAAAATCCAAACTTTCACCCAAACACGGACATACGATACCTAGACTGGAGCTTTGCTCTGCTGTATTAGCATCCGAAATTGCTACTGCTGTAACCAGACAACTAGATGTCCCAGTTGACGCTACATACTTCTACTCTGACAGCAAGGTTGTCTTGGGATATTTGTACAACAGAACAAGAAGGTTTTATACATATGTGAGTAACAGAGTAGACAGGATACTGCGTGTTTCTAGAGCAGAGCAATGGAATTATATTCCCTCAGAGCAAAACCCAGCAGATGTAGGGACTAGAGGAGTTCTGGCCAAGAATCTAAAAGACTGTTAATGGTGGAAACCTCCCTTTCAAGTTTCCTTTTACAAGCAGGACATAGATGAAAGCTTTCAAATGGTCAAACCTGATGATGATGTGGAAGTCAGACCTTTGATTACAGCAATGAAAGTAGAAGAAACAGAAAATTCTTCCTATAGCCCATCCTCTTGAGAGAAAAGGTTCTGTAAATTTTCCTCATGGGAAAGGCTTGTTCTTGGTATGAGCAGGCTTAGAAAAGCGGCACTTGAGAAAACATTTCATATAAGTCACACAACTGCGAAGGAGTTTAGTGCCACGGAACTGCTGATCCTAAAGATTGTCCAGAAAGCTGTCTTCGGAAAAGAGATCCAGAGTCTGACTAGTGGTAAAGCAGTACCTAATGACAGTCCATTGTCTTCACTCTACCCATATATTGATGAAGAAGGAGTACTTAGAGTAGGCGGACGGCTAAAGAACGCTAACCTTGGTAGAAACATGGAACATCCAGTCATTGTTTCTAAGAGCTCACATGTTGCAGTATTGCTGGTTAGGCATTACCATGAAAAGGTACATCATCAGGGGCGGCACATTACAGCAGGAGCATTGCGCACTGCGGGGTTTTGGATCATAGGTGCTAGAAGATTGGTATCTTCCATTTTACACCAGTGTGTTACCTGCAGGAAACTCAGAGGACAGTTACAGACACAAATCATGGCCAATCTTCCTTCTTGTCGCCTACAACCAGTTCCACCATTTACCTACGTTGGAGTTGACACGTTCGGACATTGGAATGTTGTCAGTAGAAGAACACGTGGTGGAAGTGCAAATAGTAAAAGATGGGCAATCATGTTCACATGTCTCACAGTCCGGGCAGTGCACATCGAAGTTGTGGAACAGATGTCAACGTCCGCCTTCATAAATGCATCGCGCAGATTTGTTTCCATTAGAGGCAAAGTACTGGAGTATAGGTCAGACAGAGGAACCAATTTTGTTGGATCTACATCTTCAAACACAGATGCTGTAAACGTTGAGGATCCAGCCGTTCAGAAGTTCCTCCTGAGCGAAGGAAGCACATGGATTTTTAATCCACCTCATTCGTCACATTTCGGAGGCGTTTGGGAACGCATGATAGGTGTGGCCAGAAAGATCATAGATGCCTTACTACTGGAGAATTCTGCAAAGGAGCTAACCCACGAAGTTCTGGTCACCTTTATGGCAGAAGTTTCCATGATCATCAATTCTCGCCCAATAGCACCTGTATCGTCAGACCCAGAGAATGCAATGATTCTCTCGCCGAATGTATTGCTCACACAGAAAGAGGGAAATGAAGTACCACCTCTTCGAGACTTGGACCTGAACATTCGAGACATGTTCAAATCCAATTGGAAACACGTACAGGTCTTAGCGGACAGATTTTGGAAAAGATGGAAAGATGAGTACTTACAGAATCTGCAATCCAGAAGAAAGTGGAAGACTGAGAAGGAGAACCTACGAGAAGGAGATGTTGTCATGCTAAGAGACAAAGATATGAACAGATGTGAGTGGCCATTAGGGTTGGTGGAAGAAGCAATCAAAAGCGAAGATGGAAACGTTCGAAAGGTGAAAGTTAGAGTCATCCGGCAAGGACGCCCAGTGGAGTATTTTCGACCAGTCACAGACGTGGTCCTTCTCTACGCTCCGACTAATGAGTAGTGACTAGTCTAGTCAGGCGGGGAGTGTGCTGTCACGCTTTCCGGATATCTTGTTTCCGCCAAGACCGGTCTTGTTATATACGTCTGGGATTCAGCATGGCCGGAGCTGGTGCAAATGTGGGTTGTGTTAACCCTTGTTGTTTTTTGATGTTTTGATACCTGTGAGGTGCCACAGCGATGTGAGTGTTAATATGTGCATATGTCTAATGTGTTAAACAACTTTTTTCATATTTTGCAATGATATTTTCCATGTGTTTAAATCTGTTGTCATTTTTGATAGAGGAAATTCGGGCTGATTATTTGTTCTTGTTTACCATTGATCTTAAGCCAAGTCTTTGTGTTTATACAGTGTTTGCATCTATTGTCAAAATTCTTCTAAGTAATTTAGGCCTGTATTTCATAGTGTATTCAAAATTGATGAGGTCATTTTTGTGAAATTATGAGTGAATATTATTTGTAGAGAAAGCTAGAAATTTATTGTTTATTTCAATTTTATTTTCAGTCATTTACCTCTTGTGAAGCCATTATCAGAATAAAGTCTTCAACACTACACATGGTTTCGAGGTCATTAATCCGCAGTTGCACCAGTCTGGGACTGAGACTGCACACCACAAGATTTCCATCTTTTATATGTTTAGCTAAGCCCTCATCCTTTGGGTTGGTATGGGAAGCATTTTCCAATTGTTGACGGATGGCAATATAAGAATATGTTCAAGGCTTTATTGACATGGGGCAACCATCTTGTGCCACCTACACGGACAGGTAAAATCTGCCTGAAATTCATAAGACGGTATACAAACTTACCGTTAGTAATAAAACATTTTGGACCTCTGAGAATGACCTAGATGTACCCAAATGCATCGACCATGGGAATACAAAGTTGAATACCACGTCGATAACACATGATCCTTGTAGAAAACACATTTTTTTTTAATTTACTACAATAAATAAAAAAGGTCAGCTCATTCTGTAGTCTACCCTGTCTATTCAGAAATAAAAATGGTCACACACATTAAAAAAATAATCATTTTTTATTCTACAAAGAAGGTATTTTTTCATGTACACACACAAACTGTATTAACTGCCAAGTTTCTTGAACACCCCCATCCCTTTCCAATACTCCTACAATTATGAGACAGACTTTTTTTTCTTGAAATACGCATTTTTCTCCATTTGTCATTATATATTACAGGGCTGCACAAGATACTGAAAAAGGGACAGTGCTTTGAGTGAATGTGTTATCCATGTATCTGCAAATGAAGCAGATCCCCCAATTATTATATTCATGAAGAGTGTGACAACTTCCAACTTCCAAGTTGTTAATGATGGAACTCCATTTAAATCAGGTACAGGTTAAAGTCTGGGCTGCACATTTCTTTATTACAATATTCAAAACTTAATAATTCAGGATCAAGTTCACACAAGCTCACATTCCATGGTTACTCGCAGCACCATTATGCTAGATAAATTTTTTATACACTTTCATGTTAAATAGTCAAATTTGATTGGTTTAAAAAACATTTGTTAACAAGTTCTACTACCATACTGCATGCCAAACATTACATCCCAATGGTTGAAAATGCATGACTACAGGTAACAGTATATACAGTAATAAAAAAATGTTAACTGTGCAGAATGTTTGCACGTTCGTTTCACGTTGATGTTTTCTTTAAAATGCATTCTATAACAAGAAAAATATTACCTGTTTATTTTGGGTGATGTGAAATTCTTACCCCTTAAAAACCGATGGTTTTGTGGAATAACAATTTCACGTTATCCTACTAAACGTAATATTTTTATGTTATATGTACATCTATTTGTAAATGTTAATGACTGTGAAAAACATAAATATTTATAAATTAGTAAAATCAATTTAATACACTATAAATACACGAAATGACAAATTTGTACATAATTCTCTATGATTTGGTTAATTAGTTTATATAAAGGATGTAAATGGGCATGATATATAATTGTTAATATTCAAGAAAGTGTTCACTGTTTTTCTTGTAGATGCTCCTTTCCATCTGATGTTTTCCAGGTTTTTGTGAAAAGTTTTCTTAAAAATGGCACCATTCAACTACAAATACTATGCCAGTGGAACTGTGATATCAATCAACTGCTCATGACACTGCTAATTGGCAGAGAATTTAATTTTTTTAATTTAGGACAAGCAATCTGTTTCAAACATTTTACACCTGCAAATTGGTACATGTACTTCCTGAAATGCTTGAAGGATGCTAGCTAAAAGCTACTGAAATTCCAAGCCAGATGAAATTCAAAATGATTGATACAAAAGTCATATGAAGTTTTCTATTCTTAGTGATGAGTGTTTTTCAGGATGCCCTCTGATATCATAGGTAAACTTGTTACTGTCCTTTGTTAGTTACACATGCAGACAACTTATTAAGGCAGTGATATAAGTAGCTCGAAGTGATGCTTTATTGTTTTCCTCAGATTTATAACCTGGATTGATCTCTGATGCAGTAATTTAAAGCCATGTCTTTTCACTGTCACAAAGTACTGAAATAAAAAAAAAGTTGATTAAAATATTTTTTTAATTCATATCATTAAATTTTAAGCTACAGAAATTCAGATTAATTACCTAAAATGTATAAGTAAATAGAAATCTTTAATTGATGAGCAAGCCTTTGCATTGTCAGAACCTTTTTTGAAAGGGCTATTTACCTTTAACAATGTCAGGACAGGTGAGTTAACTGGCTGGTCTTCATGCTGGAAGTGTGTGTTAACTCTGTAATCTTTTTAAACAAAACCGTCCAGTGATGTCCTAAGATTGCCAGATGAGCAGACATATACCTGTATTTAAGAAAGATTCTGTAACATTACATAGCATTTTTGCACAGCTTGACGCACACCTGATGGTAATTTAGGTGCCTGTAAAATAATAAATCTGGCACAAATTTATTTATTTGATACAAATCAGAACAAAATTTGTCCTTTTACAGAACAAATTATTTTCATTATAAAGAAAAGAGAAATGCAAATGTACTGTGTTAATACATTTAACCTGTATTATTGGGTATTTTCACCCTATTCTAATTTTTAAAATATTCACTCTTTCACCCTTGAAAACAATTTTGCCCTTTTAAAATTTGATCAGACACATTTGTGTTTAAAAGATATATGCTGCCTTCTTCGAATTTGTCCCGTTTTAAATTCACCTACTTGTAACGAGGGCAGAATGAGAACAATAAAGCTTAACTGGGGCGAAAATTTTCCAGAACAAAGACCATTACATGCCTGCCTGTTGTACTATAACTCCTCCAGCCTTACAATATTCTATAATCATTGCTTTCATGCAATACCCCCCAGTGGATTGATGGT